AACTTGTTGACTGATGAAGAGTTGCCGGACCCGTTTGGTCCAGAGTTATCTGATGTAAAAGTTAATAAAACCAACCCGTTTTTGACCGTTACATCGACTCCTGCCATTATTCCCGCCGAATCCCTTGGTCCGCCCCCTTCAGGAAAAGGACCCAATCACACCAGGAATGAGTTATACACCCTGCTAATTTTGCCCCAAATACTGGGGAACAAGTCTATAGTATTCACTGGCAATTATCCCATGATTTGCAGGGTTTTTTAAAAACAGAAATTACGCATGGGCACGACTCACTTATTTTAAAATATTTATTGCTTTGCACATTGTGAAGGCTCCTAACCAGGAATGAGTTATACACCCTGCTAATTTTGCCCCAAATACTGGGAAACAAGTCTATAGTATTCACTGGAAATTATCCCATGATTTGCAGGTTTTTTAAAAACAGAAATTACGCATGGGCACGACTCACTTATTTTAAAATATTTATTGCTTTGCACATTGTGAAGGCTCCTAAAAGCGACTGCATGTGGCAAAAGGGATATTCTAAATGGTCTTGAGAGGGATGACCATCAACGTTTTTTGGGGAAGGTGGAGAAACACATTAAAACTGAAGGGGTAGCAGAAGGGAATCCTCACTGCAGAAAGTTCAGTGCATACCGCTGGAGAGCTTAAGAGACCCGTACACTTGTCATTACTTATGCCTAGTCCACCTCTGTGTGGTCCCTCCATACCTACCCTGGTATTCGTCACCAGCAGGTCCCGCACTGTGTAGCTCTCACACTCCTCCTCTTTCTTCAACTCCACAGTGATATCGCCATAGGATACAGAGGCATCAGAAGGCCAGTACTGAGCACATTTTTCCTAGTGAGTCAGAAAGCAGGTAATAAAGTCAGAACAAGATGGGAAAGGTATGGACAGTTGAGATTCTGGGAGGAAATCCACCTGATCTCCTTTGTATGAACCCGAATTATTTCCGAAGGGGAAAAATGACTTGCTCCAGAAGCAGACTCAAAATGAGAATGGGAAATAGAGCGATATGAATTCTTTGCCAAAGATATGGAAGCCCAGATCCTGTGTGGAGAATATATAAACAAAGCAATTTGCTTGAGTTAAGAAAATTCTCATTGTTTATTCCAAAGTTGGGCTCTGAGGTCCTTTAATATTTTTTAGATGCTCAGGGTTCTACAAATTATTTGCCTTTCCACTGAACATTTCGTCACCAGGCAGGGAGAATTCATTCATTTAAAATATTTTTACCCCACCTTTCTCCTTAGAAAGGACCCAAGGCAGCTTGCCATCATGAAAAGACAATATTTAAAGCTAAAAGCAATTACACAAAAGTGTTTACATCATTAAAAGATAATATTTAAAGCTCCGGGGGAGACTATTTAGAACTCAGAGGGAGAGACTTGCACCCCTCTTTTCCGAGGGGAAACAACAGATATGGATAAGAATCCTAGTTACCCGGAGTAGATAATGGCTACAATCCAGGAGTGAGCTGCAACAACAACAGGCGCACTGAATCACTGTGGAGATATGGAGAGTTCACTTTTCTGTAAGTTCCACAGATTCAGTGGGCCTACTCTAGTTGCAACTTACTACTGGATTTCAGCCACCGTCTTCATCCTCTCGCTCTCTCTCTTCCTCTATCCAACACACACATCGTCATGGATGAGAGATGGCCAAGAATCATAAGTGTCTGCCAGTGACGGAAAAGGGGATTCTTGTCCTCAATAGAATCCCAAACTGATTACTGTTTCAATGCAGGCAGGCAGACACGCTGTATAGCTTTGCCCTGTCTGGTGGGGGGGAATAAAGATGATCATGGAAATCACCTGAATAAGAAGGCTCTACTCGCACAGAGCAGAGCAAAGCTTTCACCCCTGATCGCCTGCTAAAAGGAGTTAAGGGCTTTTCCCAGCCTGAGGAATAAAGCAAGACCCGAGGACGGTGGTGACAGATTCTATCCAGCCATTGAACTGGAGGTTCCTCATACTTGTTTTAGTGTTTGGCCCACAGAAAATCTATGGGGTTTTGTTAAATGTGAGTATAGTCATGTCATTTGGCCAAACCAACCAAGGTTTATCTTTAATAACTAAGCCCTCCTTACTATACTGCAGTGAAAACTCTGCTCACAGCCTGAGTTTGATCCTAGGCTCAGGCTGACTCAACCTTCCATCCTTCTGAGGTTGCTAAACTGAGTACTGTACCCAGCTTTTTTGTTCCTTCGGCGGGTGGGGGGGCAGTAATTACATTCTAAATCACCCAGAGAGAGCTTTAAGCACAATGGGGTGGTACATAAGCAGTAAACAAGATCTTCGTGTTAATTCTATGATGGGCAATGGCTCTCTTTAAAATTAGCTTGTAAGATTGAGTATTTTGAAAATCCTGATGCAGAGGCAGGATCGAAGCCTGCAGAAATGAAGTAAGCTAGCTGCATGTAAACCTTACTTCACTTATCCTCTTGCTGGCTGAAAAGACATGGGGAACTAATGAAAGTGCCTTACACTTTGCCGGACCACTGCTCCATCTATTTCTGCACCGGCTGAAAAAGGAATGCCTGGGATCATTTCAGACCTAGACGCTCTTAAGCAAGGGCACTCAGGATTGAATTTAAGGCCTTTCCTGTGCCGGGCATATGCTCTGCCACTGAGCTGTAGATCTTCCAAAAGGAGTCCAAGCATGCTACGTTTTCTGCTCACCCTGCTGAACCTGCTGGCCTTTAAAGCAGGAGAAGGGGACTGGTGGCCCTCCAAATATAGCTGAGGTACAATCCCCATCATCCTTCTCCGTTAGCCATTGCTCACTGAAGCTGCCTGGACTGGAATCCTTCTGGAGATTCATGTGTATACACTGCTTACCCAGTTGCTGTACATATGGCCTGCTTCTGAGGCTGCCTGGACTGAAATCCTTCTGGAGATTCACGTGCATACACTGCTTAACCATGTACCTTACCCAGTTGCTGTACATATGGCCTGCTCTTCCTCTGATGAGCTCCAAGTCCTATAAAAACGAGTCCCCATCCAGAGCCACTTTTCTTCACCGGGTGCTGTCAAGAGGATTGGGTCAGCTGACCATTTCTCCATGCCTGCCCCTTGTGCCCCCACTGCTCACCTGACCCCTCTCTTCCAGCTCTGTCAACATAACAATGGAGCAGGACTTCCACTCCCAGATCATTCGCCAGAAGTCCTCTATTGTGTGCTGGAGCGGACCTTGGCTGGCTATGTAAGAATCCTTCTGGCGATAGCCCTGTAATAATAGAGCAACAGAGTTACTGGGATACGGGACACAGCAGCAAGGTTCAAATAGTAAACAGCCCGAGGAGCAATACATTGGCTTCAGTAACTTCCAATGGCAGTTCTGCTATCAAGGAAAAGTTTCCTTTCTAAGAACAGAGTCTGTTTGTTTCCGCCTCTATTTAAGAAAGCAATGCAACAGGAAAGGAACGGGGTCATTTACAATGTAGTCATCAGAGAGATTAAACCGAGTTCTCAGCTAAAATGCTAGCGAGCCCCACTTGAAGAGCTAATGCAGAAGAAATGACACAAAACAAGGCTGGTGCTGTGGTTCACACAGAAAACACAACACACAGAGAAGGTCCTACACTCGCTCTACTTCAGACTGATCGGGAGTAATTGACACTACAAAATAATCACAAATTTGGATTAGAATCTCCATCCCATTTGCTTGTTAGCTATTCTAAAAGCCACTCTGAAGGTGATAAATGAGATAACATTTGAGATGGTGGAGAAGCATAAAGAGGTGAAAGTCTGAATGAGATGGGATGTTCCAGCGGGGAAGCCAGAAAAGAGTGAGTCCTGCCTCTATACAGGTCAGGTGGGCTGAGATTCACCAGGCCAGGAGACAACTGGGAAGGGACAGCCTGGGAGCAAGACGTGCTCTGGATACCTTTCATGGGGTCTCATTTGTTCAAAACACTTTGTTCTTAGATGTACTTACAGAAACATGGTACCTAAAAACCCAGTTATGCAGAGCTATGCAGGACTATGAGCTGAGCTCAGAAGCCTCCAATGGGAGGAGCACAGATGGACTGCACTGCAGCATCAAATCACCCGTGGAAGTTTTTTTTTTCTTTCCAAATAGAATGACATAAACACTTTTCATAGAACAGATCAGAACATGCAGAAAAGGTGGGCCTGGGAGAGGCCATACAGTCAGAGTTCAATTTATGTGCTTAATAGAATCAGTTTGTGAAGCTGTGCCTCCAGACAAACAGCACATAAAGATACGTATATTGGAACCCTGCTGCAGAAAGATCATTCTCTCAGAACTGCAGAGCTGGAAGGGACCCTATGGATCATCCAGTCCAACCCATGTCAAGGAAGCACCATGGGGGAATTGAACTCACAACCTCTGGCTCCGCAGCTAGATATCTAAACCACTGAGCTATCCAGGTATGTCCTCCTTGCCCACTGAAAGCAACCCTGCCAAATAAAACACTATAGAGATCACTTCAGGGTGGGTGGGGATATATTAATTTTTTTCATTTACCCTTAGAAGAACAGTCAGACTGACAATGCACATCTTCAAATTTTTAAGAGACACAGTTCAAGAACAGCTTCACTACTTAATTCTACCGCACGTGTAAAACAGCTCTGACACACAAAACCCCGCATCCATATCTGAGGCTTCTAATTGGTTGTTCAGATAAGATCCATCCAACATTACACAGGTCTATGTTTTAGGCCATTCTCTCTCAAGTTTTCTAAATGTCTCTTAAAGACATGATGTGTGTAGAGAGAAAGCAATGAAATAATCAGTCCTTAATTACAACAGTTTTACAAAAAAATGAAGTCCAGGTTTACTAACATGTGACATGAGGAAAAATTGCCACATTAACACCCTCCCACACCCTCCCCAAAAAGGATTTGAGTCCAAACTTTTTATCCAAAGGCTAAGTTTCAAACGGGTTACTTAAGGCACTTTTGGGAATAACCACTGTAGATCACAGGAGGAGATCAAGCCACTCACATCAATAAAGGAAGCGTTCACGTAATCCGTGTTCTCTTCGCCTCGCTTCACTGGAATTATCACCCGGTTAAATTCATCTACAGACAAACAAGGTAACAATTGAAGAACTGTTTAGCAAAATACGGAGAGAGAAAGGTACTGAACTTGACATAATGGTAGTCGGAAGAGAGGAGTTTCCCCAGCAACATCCAAAAAAGGGGGCCTGTGTTTGCCTGCGGTGAAGCAAACATGGCCCTTCACATTCCAAAGTTGAAAAGCACAAATATTTTGTATGCAAATGCTGAAAGGATGGATTAACCGACTTCCATCAATGCAACTGCATGTCTTGTTTCACTAACGTAACATAACACCCCTCTGCCCTTCTGGTCCAATTCTGCCCTACCTCTTATCCACCCAGCCATCTTTTCCTTCTCCTCCCTCCATCTGGTTCTTGACAGCCCCAAAGCCATCTTTTCTGAAGGTTCGTGCCTCTCCTAAACATGCTTTGCTGCCCTGCTAGGCTGATCTTAGCCACACGGGACTACTCACATGGAATGATCTGCAGCACCCGGTTTTTCTTCATGTTGGCCGGCAAATTGCCTGTCCTCATTTTGTCGTTTTGAATTTTGATTGAGGTTAGTTTCTGCGAAAGGAACGGAGAGCATGTAAGCTTCATAAATGGCTTCAAAGAGAAGCTCACATGGCTCAAAATGTGGAGTGGCATATGTGCATTTTGCCCACTCCCACCGCAGCGAGCTGAGCACTCATTTTACCAACTCTGGAAGGATGGAAGGATGAGTCAACCTGGAGCTGGGCACCTGAATCCATCAGGATTGGACTCAAGTTGCGAGCAGAGACTCGGCATGCAGTACTGCTGTTTCACTGTGCCCCACGGCTCCACAGAGGGTGTCTCTCAAGGAACTACAACTCCCAGAAGACCCATGTCTCCTGAGTAGCACTAGAGCACCTTTCTTGCCTGGGGAATTCTTGGAGAAATCTGGAAGCTGAAGCCCAAAATATACAAAAGAGAACACCCCTAATAGCAAAACCAGGCCCTGCAGCCTCCAAATTACTTTCGCTTCCATTTTCCAAAGAATTTTCCTAAAAGAATTTCCAAAACCCCAAACTGCTATGGTCAACCTGTGCACAGTATTATCCACAGACTTGCATTTTCAGGTTAATGAGAAGGCAGATCTAGAATCTATTCTGTAAATGTGCCATGAACCCATAGCTAAAGAACAGTACAGTGGTGCCTCGCTTAACGAGCGCACCGCTTAACGACGAAATCGCATAGCGATCCGTTTTTTCGGATCGCTAATGCGATCGCTTAACGTTTTTCCTATAGGGCTCAATTCGCTTTGCGAAGACCGGTAAGCGTTTCGCTTACCGATCTTCGCAAAACGAAGCCCGACGATCAGCTGTTCGGCGGCCAAAATGGCCGCCGGAAGCCCGGAAATGGCCCAAAATGGCCGCGCGCAGCGTTTTCGCGCCCTCGTTAAGCGAGGCGAGGGCGCGAAAATGGCTGCCGGCCATCCTGAAGCTTCGTTGAACGGTGAGTATTTGGCCCATTTGGAATGCATTAAACCATGTTTAATGCGTTCCAATGGGCTTTTCTGTCCCGTTCAACAATGCTTCAGCATAGCGAAGGTTAATCTGGAACGGATTAACCTCGCTATGCGAGGCACCACTGTATTTGGCCCAATTTCTATAGCAGGTTAAGTTAGAAGTATTGGCGCAGATGCCTCTTGACCTCTTTCCTGACAAGCCAAAGCAACAGTCGCTCACCTTAAACTCTTCCTCCAGTCCATTGCTACTGGTCCCTGGGATTTTGTTATAAATCTTCTGGAGGTGAGTCTCCAGTGAGGTGACCTCTAGTTCTGTGTCCCCATACAAATAATGTTCCAACAGAGCTTGGTAGATGAACACATACTGCATCTGCAAGGAGAGGAAAGAAATCAGCTATGAGTTTCATTCCACACATTCAGACAAAATGGCTCCTAAACTATTTTACTGCCCCTGGAGCCCTTTAAAGATTAAACACAAACATTTGTAGCTCACTTTAAGACATCGTACTAAAGTACAACTAAATTAATCAGAATATACGATACAACCAAACAGCAGGACAAAAATCAGTTTTAAACATTGTTTTATTGTGTGCTGCTACATCACATCTGACTCATAGTGACCCTGACAGGATTTTCAAGGTATGTGAGATATTTAAGGAGTGACCTTGAGTTTGCATTGCTGAGTGGGGATTTGAAAGGCCTTTCAATTGCATTTTTGACCAGAATTTTTTGCTGGCAAGGGCTGCTTTTTTTTTGAGGGGTGGGGAGGATAGTTGGAAGGAGTGCATAGCCCCCCCCCCACCGAAGATCCAGGGGAGCAAAAGTGGCCTATGGCCATTTTGAATTTCCTTACCTTTGCCAAAGAGTCACTTTACCACTAGGGCTACTAGCATGTAGTGCAAAGAGCACTCCTAGACCAGAAAGAAAGCTTCAGGAAGTAGCTAGACAAACCTCCATCTGGAATGCTGTTTTGTGTTGTATGGATGTGCACACAGATTTCTATAGAGACTGTGGCTGTAGAGACAGGTGAAGAGATCCAAAGGTGCAGGCTAAACAGAGATTCAAGTAGGTCCCCAATGGACCTGCCTCTATTCATATTAGAGATGGAGACTAACGACTGGTTTGTCCATCAGTCCAACAGGTGTGTTCTATGGTTCTGAGCCCTGCCTTCCCCCGCAGGCACCCACTCAGAGGGAGTGCTTGGAGGAAATGGAGCAGGGGAGCCAGGATGCTGTCTCTGACTGGGTGCCTGCCGGAGGCGGTGGGGCTCAGAACTGCAGAACACCTGTTGGACTGATGGATGAATCAGCATGAACCAGTGGTTCATGCCCACCTCTAATTCACATGTTTGCTTCAACAAGCTCTCCTTTCGAGCTACTTAAATTACACCAGCCCAGAGTAGAGTCGTCAAGAGTAAGTGGGGTTGCTGTCTGAACCTCTTCTATTGCTAGCTGTTTCTGTGAAAGCCTCTTCCTTACTCATAAAAAGCATCAAGTGATTTGCATCGCAAGAATATGCACCAGGAGCAGAAAGGAGCTCCAGAAACAGAAGCCTCAGAGGACATATTTTCTCTGCTCTGTTCTATTTTGTGATTCATTTATGGTTAGAATGCTAAATACCGTACACAGTGGGTGGTAAATTTGCAGAATATATAGATTTTGGTGTAGAGACTTACATCAGTCTGTACCATCTGGCAGCGCTGTGCTCGGATGCGGCTGACAAATCCATACACATCCACCTTCCTTTCGGTGTGCATCATGTCCAGCATGGCATCAATGACAACAAAAGTTCCTGTTCGCCCCACACCGGCACTAGGGGTTGGGGAAAGAGAGGGGAAAAAAAGAATCCCTTTGTATTTGGTTCTGGCAGGGAAGGTCACCAAATAGCACACGTTCTGGATCACAGCATGTAGCCAAGGAAAATGCTTAATTTAAAAAACAAAAACAAATGAAAGCTCATTAGTGTCTCCTTAGTGTTCCTTCTCAGGGAGCCTGGAATACACTCAGGAGATTTCTCACTGGGAAGAAGCACGGGCCTTTTGCCCTTTGCTGTCCAGCTGAACAGCTTAGTTTCCCCCACATTTGGGTAGAAAGAAGGATGTTACTCCATAGAGGTAAATATGGCCATCATACTCCTGATCAGCTGGTTCCCAGTCATGAGTCCCCAGATGTTCTTGGACAAAAACTCCCAGAAACCTTCACCACCAGCTGTGCTGCCGAGATTTCTGGGAGTTGCAATCCAAGAAAATCTGGGGAAACAAAAATTGGGAACTACCGCTCTAGATCATGGAGGATAAAGTGTGGCTTATACATTGTATGTGGCCCCAAATGCAACTTCAACATATTCAAGGTACCACCCCTGGGTATCCTGAAAAATAAAAACAAGAACATAATAAAAATAAACAAAAGCCTCATTGTGGATTTCCATGGACTTCTGGCTAATATCAGAGGCTCTCTTGCGTTTATTTAGTGCTAAGCAGAATCTCTTCTTTGCCTTATTAAACAAGCGTCAGGCTCAGAACTTCGTCCCAGTGGCATGTGAGGCTGTAGAATCACAGCACGTAAATTAATCTACAATATAGGCTCTGCACAACTTTGATATCTGAAGAACTGTAAACAAAGCTGCCAAGTTTCAGATAGTTACCATCTGCATTAAAAAAATATTGCTGAGGCAAAAACAGTTGCAGCAAAACTCTCGTGTTTTGCCACTGGGGTATATTTTTGTCTCAACTAATGTTACCTAGTGAGACAATAAATGAAAATAAATATACAGAGGTGCCCCGCATAGCGACGTTAATTGCTGAGGCGAAAACAGTTGTAGCAAAACTCTCGTGTTTTGCCACTGGGGTATATTTTTGTCTCAACCAATGTTACCTGTTAAACGAAAATAAATGTTAAACGAAAATAAATATACATATTTTGTTTTTTAAAATCCCATACTGTTTTGTAAGGCAAGCCACAATACTGAGAAGCAGAAATGGCATGCTCCCGTTCTAAAACTCACCGCTATGCGGGGAATCCTCCATCCGGCCGCCATTTTCGCTGCCCAGTAAGCGAGGTCAGGGCGCGAAAATGCTGTGGGCGGCCATTTTGCTGATCCAGCGGCCAGTTTGGAACTGCCGATCAGCTGTTTTCTAAACATTGCAATGCAAAGATCGGTAAGCGAAATGTTTACTGATCATCGCAATGTGATGTTTAGCCTATCTAAACATCGCAATGCGATTGCATTAGTGATCACAAAGAACGGGTTGCTATGCGAATTCGTCGTTAAATGGTGCGCTCGTTAAGCGAGGCACCACTGTACGTATTTTTTTTTTAAATCCCATACTGTTTTGTAAGGCAAGACACGATACTGAGAAGCAGAAATGGCATGCTCCCGTTCTCAGTACACTGAAATTCCAGTGAGGATGGAAAATAATTCACAAATTCACTCAGTCCACAGTGGTTGTTTTTAAATTTGCTACACAAAGTTAGCCCACTGGGGTGACAGAGATGTAAAATATTTTCCACGTACAATACTGTGGACTTAGAGAACTCCAAGGAAGCCTGATTCCTCATGGACAGAAATTAGAAAAGACTTCAGCCAGGGAAGAACCATGAGATGTCTCTGGAGACAGTTCTGTCTATTGAAGAGGTGGGGAGGAGTCAACCATTCCGCAGAGTAAGAAAACTGTGGCCGGACCACGACTGACCTGCAGTGGACAACAATAGGCCCTGCGTACTGGGGGTTACACGTCTTCACCTTCTTCAGGAACTTCAGCATCCCAATGGGAGTGAAGGGAACCCCGAAATCGGGCCAGCTGGTGAAGTGGAATTGTGTTACCAGACGCTGAGGTTTTTTGTTGGTGACATCGCCTACCTAGGTGGAAGGGTAAGAAAAAAAGAGTAAGTGTCACTACAAATAAGAACATAAGAAGAAGGGCCCTGCTGGATCAGGCCAAGGGCCCACTTAGTCCAGCTTCCTGTATCTCACCGTGGCCCCACCAGAGGCCTCGGGGAGCCCACGAGACCACTAGATGTCGGGATCTGCAAGATGAGAGGAAGTAGGGATCTTGCAGATGAAGCCTCAGGGCAGGGATCTTTCTCCTCAACCAGCAAGGAGACAGGAAAAGAGACACGGGACACTCAGAGTGTGGTTTTCAGGATGGGATCCGGATGAATACAGAACAGCCTGCCGTGAGGCACCTGTTCAGTAGGAGTTCTTTTTTTCTCGATCCAGCCTCCCCTCAGTTTATTGTATCCCCTACCTTTGAACAAGTTAATCAATACAGAGGTAACTAATTTCCTGAATACACAGCCAGAATAACCAGAGTGCTGGTAAATAGAGACAGCTAATTTCCTTGAATACAAAGGCATCAGTAAGAGCCCCGTCTCCTAATCCCCCTCCCCTGCATCTGGCATTTGGTGGTGCCTTCCTTCTAAGCTTGGAGAGGATATACCCCCATCATGGCTTGTAACCTGCGATGGCTGGAGAGGATATACCCCCATCATAGCTTGTCACCTGCGATGGGACTTTTCCTCAAGAAATCTGTCCAATCCCCTTTTCAAGGCATCTAGGCCAGATGCCGTCACCACATCCTGTGGTAAGGAGTTCCACGGACTAACAACAGGCTGGGTCAAGAAATATTTTCTTTGGTCTGTTCTCACTGTTACTCATCAGATAACTGGAATCACAACAACTCTCTGAACCCCTTCACTTCCTCTTAGCACCCACAATGTCCACTGTAGTGACAGGAAAGACCAGTGACAGGTGGGCCAGATGGAAATAGATCAACAGTGACAGGGAAGACCAGTGACAGGTGGGCCAGATGGAAATACTGGAGCTGGAAAGAGGAGGGAAGGGTGAAAGCAGTGCCCTCCCTCTTTTCCCAGTCCCAGTCTCTTCAAGTCCATTTGCCTCTTCCTTGATGAGCAAACCCTCCATCACAATATGGCACCAAGGTTTCCCAATGCTGACGAGGTCTGCTCTTCCCAGAAGGGTGTCACGACTGTACGATACCACTGAGGGGGCACAATCACACATCTGAATCTTTCCTGTTTTTAAAAAATATCCCTCCAGATCAAAAACTAGATTGCTAGGTCATCCTAGTCCTACTGATCCTAAGGTTGAGCATTCTCAGGTGGGTAAATTTGTACAGTACTTAGAAGAGTCAAGCAACTCAGCCTGATACCAATCAGGCCAGAAAACCCAGTTCTTTTGTGCATGCGCAGAAGACGGTGGGGGAGACCCACTGTACAATACCTGCTGAATGCAGAATTTCCGTACTATACCAATCAGGCCAGAAAACCCAGTTACTTTGTGCATGCGCAGAAGACGGTGGGGGAGAACCACTGTACAATAATACCTGCTGAATGCAGAATTTCCGTACTGTGTAGTCAACTAGGACGGTCACATCTTCCACTGACACTCTGATATTTCCGTATGTCCAGCAGCCTTGATCTGGCCAGTACTGAGCACATTTACACTGCAAAGAACCAGGGAAGAAGATTTAGTGCAGAGCAGATAGCCCGAACATTTCACACCGGAACCACTGTACAATAATACCTGCTGAATGCAGAATTTCCGTACTGTGTAGTCAACTAGGACGGTCACATCTTCCACTGACACTCTGATATTTCCGTATGTCCAGCAGCCTTGATCTGGCCAGTACTGAGCACATTTACACTGCAAAGAACCAGGGAAGAAGATTTAGTGCAGAGCAGATAGCCCGAACATTTCACACCGGATGCTGCAACAGACCTTCCCCATGGCTCTGTGCACCCACCAGCAGACATGGGAATGGCATCAAGGCTATTTCTGAAGGGTGGTGTACGCGGCATCCTGTACCATTTCTGTCCCTAGAAGACCTACAGGCCCTGACTGTGAAAGTGCAGTTTATCTTATTCTCTGCTTGTGGCACACTAGAGAGGTGGGAGAGCAGCTCAGGAGGAATCACAACGTTGAAAGGTCAGGATAGTTCACTGAATTAAAGACAGGGAGAGAGAGAAGAGGGTTATTCAACTGCATTACTGGCAAGAAAGGTTTTTGCTTTCTTCCTGTCTCCCAAGTCACAGATTTTAATCAGAGAAGCATCAGGAAATGAGGGCGTGGATGGAAAGAACAGCCTTGTCAAAACGTGAAACAAACAAACAAAAAACACGGATTGCATCTGGGGGAAACGTGCCGATAACACAGCGGCCTCAGAGCTGGATGACAACTGGGGAAACCAGGTTCTAATCGTTACTCAGCCATGAAGCTAACTTCTCTGCAAGGATAAAAATAGGTAGCAGGAGCAGCAGCATGTACACCACATTAAACTCTTGGAGGGAAGTTAGAATGGAAGTAAGCACATAAAAATAGACGGAGGGTTTTCTCTTTTATACCACATTAAAAGATTCCTTTTTGCTGATGCATTTAAAACATTTATATTTGATTGTGTCATATTTTTAAGTGGGAATTTAAAATTTGAGTTTAACTGAAATTTTTACAGTGTACTGTTTCCCGGATATATATAGGGTTCTCTCTCTCTCGTTTTATAACCATATATATACATAGATATAGATATAGAGATAGAGATAGATAGTTAGAGAGATATAAAACTAAATACACACACACACACACACACACACACACACACACACACACGGTTGTGAGATTAAATATAATTTTTCTTCTTCTAAAAATCCTGCGGACATTATCCTAACAAACAAAGGTTTATAACTTAAAAACTGAAAGCAACTCAATAAAGAGCTTTGTGATACAGTGGTAAAACTTCAGTACTGCACTCAAAAACTCTGCTTGCAACCTGTATTTGATTCCAAATGGCTCAGGCAACTGGCTTCAAGTGAACTCCCCCATTCATCCTTCTGAGGTTGGTAAATGAAGTACCCAGCTCGCTGGGGGTGTGGGGCAACATATAGGATGGATTCTTGAATTGTAAACCTCCCAGAGATTGCTTTGCACACTATGGGGTAGTATATGAGCAGCACATTTTGCTCTTGCTATATATAAAGGGGAAGAAGTTTGGGTTCTGGGAAAGCAGACTTTGCAGGAGATGACACACTCACAGCTTTTGGGACCTTCCCATCTGCTGAGCAAATACATGGGGCAGCTGCCACAGAAATCGAATTCTTCCCTCTGTGGGAGCCCCTACAGAGGGGCCTCAGCATCTCTGGCCCCTCTTTGGGTAACACACTGCCCATGAGAAACTTCGCCCATTCACCTATGGACACCTCATTATGTTACCAGACACATTTTCCTTTCACACTGATCTTTCCACTCGCCACAAAGGCCCTGGCAGTCACTTGCCTCTTTCCTCTCTTTCAGGTTGGTCACCATGACGATGGTTGCTGTGTTTTGCTCCCAAATCATTCTCCAGAAGTCATTCACAGTCTCTTCTTTTGGTCCTAAAAAGAAGATTTGGGGGGAAAAAAGTTCTCAGGAGGGCATTATGCACGTGAAAGAAAAGTGAGATTAACCACCTCCCGTACTTTCATGGGCCTAGGAAGCTTCCCAGCCGTGTGTCAAGTGCCTCTGCTTGAACTGTCACTTGTTTTCAAAGGTCTCCGACATACACCTTTTTTCAGCCTTCCCACTTGAAATTCCTTAAGCGTAGGTGCCAAAGACGGAGCCTTGAGCTTTGTATATGCAAAGCAGAATCTCTGTGGCTAAATGGGAGAGAAACTGCCCTCCTCTTGAAAATCTCACTTGCAACTTCTACACAGCTTGTGAGTTTCCAAGACCTTACACCCTGAAGAAAGCTTCTTGTGGGCTTCACAGAATAATTTTATTTACAATCCCCTCAACACACACACATGGCTGCAGAGAGGCACTGGCTTATCCTCTTAAACCTCTAATTCCTGTCTCCTAAAACAAAGTAGTCTTCCCAGCACTAAACACCTTCACACGTCGAACTTCAGAATTCACCGAAATTATGGAAGACATAGAATCCATTCTAGCAACAGGCTGGTGGCCAACTTGAGAGGCAAAACCATTCTCGCTCAAGTCTGAGCTGCAGAAAGTTAACTGAGGTGTGTCCTTCTCTGACTTAAGGAAAAGCTGCATGATCCTGCATGAGTTGGCTATTACGGCTGCTTGCCGCTTACAACAGGACAAAACACACCTAAGCAATTGATTCCTTGCATTGGTTGTAAACCAATGGATTGAATCAATTTGGAACAATCCAGGAGAAAGCTAACACATTGCAGATACACTCTAATCAGTATAAAGTTTTCAGACTCAGGACACTACAGAATGGAAACCTGAAGGAAGGCCAACATAATTTACCTTGGGCAGCAACAAACTTGTTCTTCTCTTGGTACCCCTGTCATGACAAAACAACAGAATAAATGAAGACGGTTGACTCCTCTGGCCCCCCAAAAATCAGCTTCAAAGTATTCAAAGACATTGGCACCTGTTGGCATGACTGATGCACAATCATATAGCAAGCCATCCACCCCACTACTATTTTTAATACTATCATGAGAGACCATGGGAGAAAAAGCTTTTGGGGATTGGAATAGTGTGACAAAGGGCACAAATAAGCTGTTCATGTTTCTCCTATGGTATCTGAGTGGAATTAATATATTTATCTTCTGGAGAGACAAATATCTACACTTTGGACACAGGTATTGAATAATGATTACGAATGTTTTACAACACAGGATAGATGAGTGACTTGATCTTTGTAGGAGACAGAAGAATCCTCAGCAACTGACCCTCCAAAATTAAAACCTCTTGACTTAGAGGCGTATCTACGATTTGTCTATAATTTCTGCTTTGGTTAAAGCAGAAAGGACAGGGGAGAGAGAGAAATGGCAAACAAGAGCTTTGCTCCTGGCTGTTTCCAGCTTTGCAAGATGAAGTACATTGGATGGAAAGGCAATTAAGGGACCATCCATCACATTATGAGCCTGTCCAGATCTTAAGACTGTTGGGAGGAGCCCTCTTAAAAACACTTAATAGATTTAGAAGTCCACCTAACAAGCACCTGGCAGAGGGCCTGACTACAGAAAGCACAATCTACTTCCATTCTGACTGATTTTAAGAAGGGAGTAAAAACACATCTTTTTGTCCTGGCCTATGAAATCTAACCTGTCCTGTAGTGCTATTTTTTGAAAAAAATATTTTAATAATTTTAATTGTTTTTAATATACTTGGTTAGTTTTATTGGCGGGGCTCATTTACATGGTCGTATGATTTTTTTTTAAAGCTAAATGTGATTTTATCAATTTTTCTTATTTCAGAAGTTTTAAGCCACCTTGAGCACTACCTTTGAGTGGAAATGTGGGGTTGTGAATGTAATCAATAAATCACTGACAAGAGACAAATGAGCAAATTTACTCTTTTGTAAGCAGCTACCTCATGCTGAGAGGTAGATATAGAGGGGAGTGAGCAAGAGGAACTGGACATTTGGGAGGATTCCTGGGAGTTTCCGTCACCTTCGGAGAAGAGAGAAAATAGTCTGCCGGGGGAGACACTGAAAGGAGCTTCTAAGAGGATGGCATCTCCGGAGGACGGCTGGCTTATCTGAAGGCGAGTTGAAAGATAGAAGCTCCTAGGGTCAGCTAGGGCTGCACAGCCTCCTCTGCTTGATGGATGCCAGTACCTGCTGCCTCATCATGGATACAGCAGCTGGGGCCGCTCACAGTCTTATATTAATTTTTGCTCCAAAAACGCATTAGGGCTTATTTTCAGGGGATGCTTTGTTTTTTTTTTTTCCATGTATAATCCAGATCTATTCAAATGCAGTCATGTCATCTTCTGGTTGCTGCACAAGGGTGGAGGGTGGGGTTTCACTTCACTGGGGCTTATTTTTGGGGTAGGGCTTATATGACGAGCATCCTTAAAAATCCTACTAGGGCTTATTTTCAGGTTAGGTCTTATTTCCGGGGAAGCAGGGTAGAGCCTGCCGCTCCAACTGCTAACTTCACCAAAACATCACACCAGCTTTTGATTCTCTGATCATTAACAAAAGATACCAGCATGAAATATGGAACATTTCTGCAATCAAACCATATGCTTTGCACCTCTGAGAAATATCAGAAGGTAAAATCTTCTGGAACTGGGATACAGTCATGGCAGCAGCTCTACCATGGTTTCCAAAAGCCATGTTTTGCATCCAGAAAGCAGGCATTTTGTTTCCAGCAATACAATGCAAAGATTAACTGCATAAGATTATTAAGTGGTCATGACTGACCAGATAGGTGGGATATAAATAAAATAAATAAAATAAAATAAAATAAAATAAATAAATAAATAAATAATTTTTAATGCTGACAATGGAGAAATTGAAGTGCTAATCATTTCCTATAGTTTAGTTCAATCATCAATGCTATTATTTTAATATGACTATATTATTTCTTTTTTACTAGACATGGAAGTAAATGCTGGACAATGAAGAAATCTGAAAGGCGAAAAATAGATTAATTCAGAACATGTTGCTAGAGGAGAGTTTTACGGAGGCCATGAACCACCTGAGAGGCAAATAAATGGGTTTGATATTAAATTAAGACTGAACTGTTTTTAGAAGTGCAGTTGTCTAAATCAAGGCTTCCGTACTTTGGATATACTTTAAGAAGACAAGATGTCGTGGAAAAGACAATAACGCTAGCAAAAGCAGAAGGCAGGTGGGGAAAAAAGGAAGGCCTAACATGAGACAGCCTGATTCAACAAAGGAAACATAGCTTTTAGTTCACAAGACCTGAGCACAGATGTTAATGACAGGCCCTTTTGCAAGTAATTATCTCATAGGACCACCATAAGACAGATATGATGGCATAGAAGAACTGAAAAATGAGAACACCTCTGCAGCAGGGAAGTTTAAGAACTGCTTGAGAGATCAGGTAAAAGCTATTGGCTGGTTGTGGAAAACACAGAAAGAGCTACAGCATGGCAAAGGGTGGAGCAGGAAAGTAACAAGTAAACACTGCAGTGAGGAAGGAGGTACAAGGCAGCTTTGCCAAGACTCCTTTTTCAAAGCTAGGCTTGGCCATCATGTAGCTCATGAGCCCCTGAAAACTGCGTTTGAGGCTATGGACTCCTGTGAAACCCCTAGCTGTGTTCCCAACAAATTTTCTTCCTCCAAGCAAAAAAAGAGAAGCGCTACTCTTGGGAAGTCTGCAGTAGCAGCAACCCTCCATTTCAAGAAGGTGCAGTCCTTCCATGCCTTTTTAAAAAACCCTCCAAATGGTGTTTTATAAACATGGAAGCAGACAATAGATGCCTGCCTGCCTGCCTCCCTGCTCTAAGTGCTCGAAGGCTGAAGCACGCTTCTTGGTTGTGGTGACCTTTAGGGGGCAACAGCTATGATGCCTGAAGCACTACAGCTGTACCCCTATAGTTCCATTGGGGGGGGGAACACAGTTTATTTCAATGAGCAAGCTGCAGTAACAGCTGGAAGGGAGGAGGGCATGCCCTGCCACCTTTTCAAACTCCTGATAACGAGAAACCTCTCAACATAGAGAGCCACACCTCTCAGGATTCCAAGCGATCCACTAGATTATACTGACACACCTTCATCCATGCATGTTTGTATACCATCTAGGTCAGAAACAGCAGAGAAAACAAGAGCATTTTTATATGAATGGAGTCCCGTGTCATCCCAAGTACTTACGTTAATGAATGAGGCATTGATGTAATCAGAATCAGGAACTCCTTCAAGAGGAGTCAGATGAACCCTGGAGTGATCATCTAAGGAGAGCAAATAAAGAGGCAGCCCATTAAGGAACAAAAAGAACAGGAAACATTTAACATGAGAGATTTCTGTAAAAGTCAAATATATCTCCTAGGCTAATGAAGTTGCAGCAGAATATTATTTAGGCTTGGTCCCAGGACACAGAAAATCTAGGAGAATGCCAAATCATTGCAAATTATAGCCCAGACTCATTGTAGGCAGGCAAATCTTGGACCTGTAGTTTTAATATGTGGTGTGAGAAACCTCGTTGCCCTCAACCATGAAGGTTTATATACCATCCAACCTACATGCATGAGAAATGCCAGGGAAAGATGAAACATCCACTTCACTCCTTCCTCCCCACATTTCTGCAATGAAGGCATTAGTGCAGGCCAAAGGCAACATTCCCTTAATGGTAACCTATCAAGAAACACATGCTAAGACTATGCTAACAGGAGATCTCTGTATCATCCACCTTTCTTTTCTTGCAGTTTTAGCTCTACAGGTATGCAAAATCAGAACCATTTGAAATAAGGCTAATGATCACACATAACTTGATTGTAGCTTCTGATTTAGTGGCATAATGTCCACTAAGACATTTACCAGGAGAAGGAGGAGCAAAAGGAGGCGGCACATGCAAGAAAAATGTGGAATAAATGCTGCACCCTCACAATTCTGAGGGTATTCGGGTAGGTATTTTGATGTGGGTGGATGGACATTTTCTCCTTTTCAGGATATTCTACCATATTACTGTAACCTGATGCCTTTCACTTCAACAAGGAAGTGAGATGGGTGATGGGGAGAAAGGAAAGATTTCTCTCCCCAGACCACCAAATTTGGCAAAAGGTAAAAGGAGCCAGGGCTAGCAATAGTTCACTGGCCACTGGTACAAGGGCAGGTTGCGGTCAAATCTCTGTGCTTTTTCTTGGGTGAAACGCAAACCAATAAGCCTCAGTGGGTAAAGCCACTCTCCCCGTATGTAAGAGATCTAGCCCAGGTATTTGCGTGGGGTTTCCTATAAGGTGGTGGGCTGCTTACACAGACCTCCTAGCAGCTGCTGTGTGGATCAGAGGCAGTGTCTCTTCTCCACACCCCAAATGTTGTGATGGTGTTGCCTTATTCTTATTAACTGGCTCTCAAATTAATGTTCTTTCACCTTTGGTTTCCAAATGCAAGACATTTTTACCATTTATGAGCATTGTTTCTCTTATTCTTGTGCTACAGGAACTGTTTGTCCTATTCTACGCCTCCCCTGAATGGTGCCACCCCCGTGGTATTCTCTTTACCATCTACAATCAAATACATCTCCTAGGCAACCCCTTCCTCTTCAATAATCACTGCATGCGTTTTTCCATCTTGGCATAAAAATAAGAAAAAGCAGTGGAGGTTTGAACAAGTTTAACACCTTCCTCCATCATGGAATCCATCAACTGGGAAGCACAGCCTCCTTTACAAAAGGAGATAATTTATTTGTGACTGTTAGGACTGGCTCAGATTCTACGGAGGTAGTTCCAGAACACAAAGCCTTTGTTATATTAAGAGAGGAGTCAAACGAACGGACCGGTATCTGTCAGCCCAGCAAAATAAAGCAAGAAATGTGGATAGCCCTAACGTACTTCCATCAGTAGATAGGGGTCCATATCAGTGTCCGCTAGGCTTCAAAGGTGAGGCCTTGTGGTCCCTGCTTGAGTGATCCATTTGACGCTTCATAGTGGAAGAGGAAGGGACAATGTCATCCCTCTCAGAAGGACGCCACGGCTTCTTCTCAGCAGCCCCTCTGCTCCTTTTCATCTCCTCTGGTGCCAGGCAAGATCTTTGCCTGGCCAAACAACACCTGGGTCCTGAACTTCAAGATCATGCTAAAGCTCTTCACGAATCTTCCCAATGTCATTACACTTCTGTCTCACCACCAACTCTTCCTTGGCCCTCCAGCATTGTTGTCTGCCAGACTCCTGCCCTCTCCCCAAATATCCCAGTCTTGCTTATCTAAAGGAGTTTGTAGAGGCTGCTCAGTAGACTGTCTTGTTTCCCTTTTATACAGATAAAGCAAAGTGTGATGCTTATATACTACCACACAGTGCTTAACGCATTCTCTGGGTGGTTTACAATTTAATTATGCAGGCTACACATTGCCTCCCACCCTACAAGCTGGGTACTCAATTTTTCCAACCTTGGAAGGTTGAGTCAATCGGGAGCCAGCTACCTGAGCCCATTGGGATCAAACTCAGGTTGTGAACAGAGTCTTGGCCCACAGGGATCCACGTACAGTGGTGCCTCACTTAACAAGGATAATCTGTTCCAGCGAAATCACTGTAGAACGAAATCCTCGTTAAGCGAAATAAAAAAGCCAATTGAAATGCATTGAAACCCCTTCAATGCATTCCAATGGGCTGAAAACTCACCTTCCAGCGAAGATCCTCCATAGGGGTGGCCATTTTCACTGCCTGTAAAGCGAGGAATCTGTCCTAGAAAACAGCGGGGGGCCATTTTGTACACCCGGTGGCCATTTTGAAACCCGACGATCAACTGTTTTTAGATTGTCGTCATGCGAAAATCGGTTCCCAAGGCAGGGAACTGATCATTGTGAAGCGGATTTTTCCCATTTAAATCATCTTTTCGGGAAAACCTAATCGTCAAGCGATTTCCTCGTTAAGTGAGGCAATCGTTAAGCGAGGCACCATTGTATTAAAAAAATACTGCTTGGCTTCACATGTCCTCATGTTAAGAATGGAAGCTTAACAGTTACCACAAAGCCATCTGAGGGAAAGAGAGGAGATAATACTTACAAGGCAAGATGTTCACATATCTATTCTTCTCTTTGTTTTCTTCCTTAGAAGCTGCTTCACAGGTTGCCTGGATAGGACATGCTGGAAGAGCCTGGAAGGACGAAGAAGAAATGAAATGACTGACTGCTACATCTCCAGCTGAAAATTATTCAGAGAAATTGCTGTGCAGACTATTTCCATACTAAGGTCTTGACATCTGGTAAAATGGACATAACATTCATTACTTTTTCAGTGGCTGGTGAAATGAGACAGTAGTGTACCCTGGCAAAAAAACAAAACAAAACAAACAAATAAGAAAACAGCCTGGCCAGTTCACATCTACACAATGACAAGACCCTCGATGAAATTAAACATATACTGTATATATGATCCAACCAACATGTTGAGGCAGCTGCCTTGGGTCCTTTTAAGAAGAAAGGAAGGGAAAAACATTTCAAATAAATACTGTAAATAAATAAATTTGTGTGTCAAGGTAATTCTTCAGGAGCAATTTATGCCCAATTATATGTGAGACAAAACATTTAGTAAGTTAATGAATGAGGACGGTGGTGTTACTGTCTGATTGTAGACTTTCAATTAATTCTATCAATTCTGTGCAAACAGATTAAAAGACACATGGAATTAAGAGGCCATGCTACTTAGCAACACAAGATGGCAGTAAAGCCTTCCTCAGTTCCAATTCAAATTGCATGAGCTGGATCTGTGGTAACCTGCTTCAGATTATTTTTAAAAAAGACAAATTCCAGAATAATGAATAGCAAGTGCACCATCAAAGTGAAATTTCAAGCACAAACTTCAAGCACAAACAAACAAACAAACAAAAGTGGTTTGGAGAAGTAACAAAGCAAAGATGGGGTCAAAATGAAGTTATGGAACATAACATCCCCCACCCTCCTATGTGAAGCGAAGACTGGGAGACTGTCCGAGGACGCTCAGTGTTAAGCACACATTGCTGCAGCCAGAAATTCAAATACATGGCTTTAATTCAACTACACCTATTGTCAGATAGAGCTTTTAAAAACGTGTTTAAATTAGAAAACCTACTAATTATTTTTCAATCTGCTCTGGGGTGGAGCAGGACAGGACACTAGGATCACACTCTAAGTTGCCATGAAGGTCACTGAGAATCAGTAGCTGTTAGCTTAATAAACCTCACAAAAACGAGAGACTGTAGGGTCTCCATTAGGGCACATATGAGTACAACACCGTGTCTATGCCGCACAGCGATAAAAAGGGAGCAGTGCGAAGTACTTGTGCCCTTCGGACCATTACATTAATAACCCTTCTTTGCACTGAGTGTGTGTGTGGTACAAATACCACAATTCCCAGATAGTTAGAACAAAAGCAGAAAATGAAACTTACCATTTCTATACCCAGATCTCTCTCATTCACCAGCAACGTCCTAGCAGCACAGGTAATATGCGATCTCTAGTAAGCACAGCATAGACCCTACTCCTAATAGTGCATCATTTTCACAAACAATGAAGACTATGACACTTTAAACAAATTCACTACAGCATGGGTTTTTGTGGATTTTCACACAGCGCAATTATACCACCTGGTCTGCATTGCTAAAAGGTCACTCTGGGTGGAACCAACACTGAAGGGGTGGATTTAGTGAAAGATGAGATCAAGCTCTTATGGGAACCCCCATGAGCTCTCAAAGACTGTTCAGATTTACATCAATAATCAGGAACAGATTTCCAGCAAAAAAACAGGAAGAGGGCGTGAAGGAGTCTGGAAAGGGGCCCGAGGAGCAAGGTCAAATAAGGGCAAGCCAGCAGCCCTGCCGATCTAAAAAGCTGTGGCTGGGAGGTTGGGGACAGAAAGGAACACAGACTGAGGTTAGACATTTGAGTACAGGCAACATCCCTTCCTCTCACTTCCTGGATTGCTAAAACAAGACTCAGGTTTGCCCTAGTATGGGTGCAGAAGGGAAAAGTCACAGGACAACACAGAAGGAGCAGCTTGGTTCACTGCGGGCTCAGTTTGGTGTAAACAGTACTGCACATTGATCAATATTCTACTTTTAAAAATAATAACTGAGTATTGTCAAGTTGATTCTGATTTATGGAGACCCTTTTCAGGGTTTTCCAGGTAGATAATACTCAGAAGTGGTTTGCCATTCCCTTCTTCCAGGGGGTGCCTTGGGATTGTGCAGCTGGCCCAAGGCCACCCAGGCTGGCTCTACTTGTAGAATCACAGTGGAGAATGACAGGTTACCCACCCGTAATTGTAGTTCTTCGAGTGGACCTCCTGATTCACATTCTGGGTGATTTGCGCCCGCGCAGAGCCTCATTGGAAGATTCTAGAGCTTCTGCGGTAGCAATAAATACATTAGAATAGGCCCCTCCACCCATATAAGTGCCTTGCCGCCAAGCGTCCCCTTTCAGTTGTGCCAACCACCGTTTAATAGTAAGCAAACAATGGTGTGACAGAGGGGAGGACGGGCAGGATGTGTGAATCACAGAGGTCCACTCAAAGAACTACAATTACAGGTGGGTAGCCTGTCGTTCTTCTTCGTGGCCTCTGTGAATCACACCCTGGGTGACTAAAAATCTGTCGTACCTGGAGTCAGGGTGTCATGCCAAGATAGACGCTAGAACAGCATGTCCAAATATTGCATCAGACTTCTGCCGGAGGTTGAGTCTATAATGACGGATAAACATGGACGGCTGTGTCCAAGTGGCAGAGGTGCAGACGTCTGGGAGAGGTACGCTGCGGAGAAAGGCTGTAAAGGCTGCCACCGCCCTGGTGGAGTGAGGGCGAACCACTCTAGGGGCTGGGTGTCAAGCAAGTTGATAAGCCAAATGAATGGTTGAGGTGACCCATCTGGAGATAGATTGGGAAGTCACCTGACGGCCTTTTGTAGGTAGCTGATGGCTTATGAAGAGACGAGAGGACTGTGTAAAAGGCTGGGTACGCTGGAGATAAAAAGCAAGAGCTCTTCTGACATCCAACGTATGGAGGATTTTTTCTTGGTTTGAAGAAGGTGATGGAAAAAATGAAGGGAGGACAATCGGCTGGGAAAGATGAAATTGAGAGACAATCTTGGGGAAGAAGGAAGTGTCCATAAATAACTTCACCTTATTGGGAAAAAACTGTAGACAAGGGTAGTCATAGCGTAAAGTTGCCAATTCACTAGCTTGTCCAGCTAAGGTGATAGCTACAAGAAGAGCTGTTTTAAAGGTGAGGAGTCTTAAGTCAGTTGTAGCTAATGGCTCAAAAGGAGCTTTTGTAAACTGTTTCAAAACAAGAGTTAGTGACCATTGTGGAGAGAGAGGTCGAGTATCGGGGTAGATATGAGAGAGACCTTTCAGGAAACGTTTCATTGTTGGATGTTTGAAGAAGTTTACTGCTGGAGAATTTGGAAGTTGGTATGATATTATTGCTGAAAAGTAGACTCTCAAGGATGAGATGGAGAGGCCCTTGGATTTGAGATATAGGAGGAAGCGGAGAACAGTGGGAAGTGACGGACTGATGGAGGATGATAAGGAAGATTTGGTAAAGGATTGAAATTTCTTCCATTTGTACAGGCAGGCTTTCCTTGTGGATGGTTTTTTGGCATGATGAAGAACGTTCATTAATGAGGGAGAATCCTCCATGATGCCAGGTACAGAACAGGTAAGTCCAGGTGTAGGACTTGGGAGTTGGTTCTGTGTGAGGTGTGGCAGGCGGGGGAGATGGTGGATGTCTGATGAGAGACTGCGGAGAACTGGGAACCAAGTCTGTCTCGGCCACCAAGGGGCTATAACAATGGCATTGGTTTTGTCTTGTTGTAGACGGACGACAACTTTGTGGAGGAGAGGGAACAGCGGAAAAAGGTAGGTATGAGTGTTGGGCCAACGGCCGACAAACACGTCCCCCTGGGAATGTTTTCCTATTCCTGCTCAGGAGCAATACAGTTGGCATTTCTGATTTGCTTGGGAGGCAAAGAGATCGAGAGTTGGTGTGCCCCATTTCTGGCACAGTTGGCGGAATACTGATTGATCTAGTTCCCACTCATGAGCTTGGGCATCTGTGCAGCTGAGCTGTCTTGACCAGCAATGTGTAAGGCTGTGAGACAGATATGATGCTGCAGACACCACTCCCAGAGATCGACCGTTGAGCTTTATGACGGGAGTGTGCTACAAGGAGCCAGTTGTCGATATATGGAAAGAATAGAATGTTTTGAAGTCTGAAGCAGGCAGCTACCGGCGCCATGCACTTGGTGAACACTATCGGAGCTGTTGCAAGTCCAAATGGGAGTCTTTTGAATTGCTATGCTTTGTGATCCAAGTTGGAAACGAAGGAATTTTCTGTGTGCGGGATGTATTGCAGTATGAAAGTAAGCATCTCTTAGGTCTATGACGGTGAACTAGTCATTTTTTTGAAGTAAGGGAAGAACTGATTCTAGAGTAATCATGCAGACTTTTGTGGTGACAATGTAGTTGTTTAATAATCTTAAATCTAGAATAGGGCGAAGACCCCTGTCTTCTTGGGGGATGGTGAAACAGTGAGAGAAAACCCCGGTGTTGTTTTGATAGACAGATTGTAAATTCATTATTTCTTCTTGCAGGGGTTGTGACGGAGGAGTAACGACGTGTGTTGTTGGAGGAAGTTTGAAGAAGTGGATGCAGTAGCCATTTTTGATGATGGACAGTACCCAGGAATCTGTGGTGATGGATTCCCATGCAGGTAAGGTGTTTCTAGAGGGCAGGGTTGGTGGGGTGGGTGGCAATCTCGGTCAGAGGAATGTCAAACATGGTGTTTGGGTTTCCGATCATTCTGCCTAGTGGCAGGCTGTTGCTGGGTTTTGGCTCCTTGGTTTTTGAAGTATGGATTGTAAGAGGTTTGTCGTGGAGGTTCTCACTGGAACCTCTGGTACAAGTTATAGGGTTGTTTCCATTGATTTTGCTGAGGACATTTCTGGTAGGAAGGGTAAACTCCCCAACGTCTGGCTGCTGAATGTTTCTTTTGTACGTTCTCTAGTATATTGTCAGTTTCAGCATGAAAAAGACATGCTCCATCAAAGGGGAGGTCTTCGATATGTGCCCGAGCATCTTCAGCTAAGCCGGCCATTCTGAGTTAGGAAAAATGGTGTGGGGCTACTGGAGTGGCCATGGACTTGGCT